TCACGTCATGTAACCTTAAATTAAATATCCTAAATCATTGTTCACGGCATAACAAATCACATCACAAACCAATACATAAAACCATGGAATAATTTGTTATTTTTTATTCATGAAATAATTTATTTTTTTATATTTACTTTAAATCACTAAACTTTACTATTAAAACTGGTCTTTCTATCTTTTTATTTTTTTATTCTTTATGTCTTTTTATTTTGGAGAGATACTGTTTGCTAAATGATGGGCTCATTGTGGGTTATTATTGTTGCTTTTGGCATGATTATATGTAACATAAATATCAACATTGTTTTACTATTATTACTATATACTTGTGTATGTTGTTATACATGCGCACATATATGATATAAATATGTGTATTTTCTTTTTAGCAATTGCAAGTTTCCAAATACATGCAAAGTTAAGTAAGTAAAGAAAACAATACTTTTCAATTAGTAAATTTAGTACTAGTAATTAACTTTATTTTTTTACATTTTGTTATCCTTATTTTTATAACATGATCAATTAAAATGCACCAGAACAAAGTTCTGATGCATTTTAATTGATCTAATTATAGAATTTTAATTTATTAACCTGGGTAAATATATCTCCAGTTGAGAGAGTTGAATTGCAACATGTTTAGAGAAATATCCATGTTTTTCAAATTGTTTTATAGTTCAGGGAAAATATTATCGAAACAAGAAAAATAGAATCTTATTTTAAGTAAAAATAATATTGAAATAAAAAAAAATGAAATGAAAAAAAAATGCAAGAAAAAATTCTTTTTATAAGAATATAAATTCTTGAAATAAGAAAAAAAAATTTATTTAAAACTTATATTATTTTAAGAATATAAATTCTTGAAACAAGAAAAAAAAAATATTCAAAAAAAAAAGTTCTTATTTTAAGAATAAAAATTCTTAAAACCAGAAAAAAAAAATCTTGTTTTAAGAATAAAAATTCTTGAAACAAGAAAAAAAAAATCTTGTTTTAAGAATAAAAATTCTTAAAATAAGAAAAAAAATTCTAATTTTAAGAATAAAAATTCTGAAACAAGATAAATATATTTTTATGTGGCGGACAAGTCTTTTTTTTTTCTTGTTTTAAGACTTTTTTTTGCTTAAAACAAAAATCTTGGATTTTGCTGTGTAACAAGAATATGACTTTCAAAGATTATATAACTTTCAAAGATGATATAACTGCTTTTTACGGCAAAAAGATTTACGATGATACCAAAAAATTACAAGAATTGAAGATACGAAATACAAACGCAAAAAACGAATTCGTTTTTCTTCAAAAGTGCATATCAAATAACATAACTCCAATATCGTTAAGAATAAAAACTCCAATATATTCTTAATAAGAACAAAATGATCATTATGTGCTTTTTTAGAATATATTCTTTTTTAGAATAAAAAACTCTTGAGTATCTCTTGAGTAACTCTTGAGTAGTTGAGGGTGCTACAAAAAGAAGGTAAAAAAAGAACATAATGATCATTTTGTGCTTTTTTAGAATATATTGAAGTTTTTATTCTTAACGATATTGGAGTTATGTTATTTGATATGCACTTTTGTAGAAAAACGAATTGGTTTTTTGCGCTAGTATTTCGTATCTTCAATTCTTGTAATTTTTTGGTATCATCGTAAATCTTTTTGCCGTAAAAAGCAGTTATATAATCTTTGAAAGTTATATAATCTTTGAAACTAACAGCTTTTTTCTGTATTCCTTTGAAGGAATACAGAAAAAAGCTGTTAGTTCATGCTCGTAATGAAACAAAACATAGATTATACTCAAGTAAAAAATTAATTGATGAATTAAATATATCTCTTCAGAATAAAGTAAGATTAAACGAGTATGAATTAATTTATAGTATAACTAACAAATCAAAAAATTTCCATTATATTAACAAAAAAACGAAAATGAAAGAAAAATATGATAAATTACAAACTAAATCGAATATAAAAAATACTCCTAGAATAGACTCACCGAATCAAGTTGTTAAGCTGCTATACTTAATTTAACTTATGTTATTTTGGATGAAGCAACAACTGAATTACTCAATCTAGGTCCAAAGTTTGTGCCATTAAAGAAGAAAATCCCTTATATGGACATTATAACAAATGTTGAAATGTGCGCTTTGCAACTTGAAAAACAAGATAAATCAATCAGAATCTCTAATCTCTAAAATATTCTAAAATAAGAGCAAACAAAGCTAAAGCTACACAAGACTTGGGAAGTGGCGAAAATGTTCTTAATAGGGATGATGGTGATAACGTCACAACAAGAGCTTGGGGGCCATTTTTTATTAAATTAGCTGACGTCAACATTTAATCCTATTTTTTATTTGCTCATAATCTTTTTAACGGTTTGTTTTTATTATAACGATTATCTTTGTAACGATTTTTATTTATTATACCTGATGACGCTGATCAACAAAATATCGAATAATATATATTAAAATAAAAATATGTATATATTTTTTTAAAATAGTTTATACGCAGCCGTTTTGTTAGAGTTCCATTTACAGAGTTTTGCCACAAATAGACTTCTAACAAATGGAGAAATGTTCCAAAGATATTACTGGAAGAAAAAAAAAGAAAGTCAAAGAATACTACACTTAATAAATGCTTAAAACACTAGAACTACCAGAGGGTGCTACAAAAAGAAGGTAAACACTTTTTTGAAATAGAGCAGTGCTCTCTTCTCTATTATTAAAACAAACATATTTGATTTAGTAAAAAGTAATAAAAATAGCGATGATGAGGCTAAAAGAAAGACATAAAACTGTTGAGACTTTGTCTGAGAGGGGATATTGTCAAATTCGGAAACATGGACAATAAATTTTGTGAAAATGCTCACAGGGCACAATAAAAAAATAGTTAAGATGCCTGAGAAAATCCAAAGACATGAAGATAAAAATAAGAAAAAGGAGAGTAACTTTTCGGACGGTAACTTTTCAATCACAGGTAGTGGCAATCAAACTGAATGCGACGAATATCGAATGACGAATAAAAGTTTGCCTTCAGTTAAGTATGGAAGATATTCTTACCAATTGGATTTTAATTATGACCAGATTTTGGAATTTTTGTCTGGCCAGGTATGTGTTTTTTGTCTTGTATTTATAAGCCTGGTGGATTTAGTTTTGATAATATGTTGATATCAAGATCAACTCTAAACAGGAAAACTCATAATGCTGTGGAGTCTGAGGCACAGATAATTAGAGTGGAAAGTATAGATAAAATAAGAGGTTTAAAATTGTGTTATCTTGAAGGGATACCAAGATCTGGAAGGATACGATTGGGGAAAAGGAATATCTAAATATGAGGATAGAATTTCTATTAGCGCATCTTCACCAGAGTCTGGCCCACTAGACTTTATTCTTGGCATCTTAAAAATCGCAATTCAAACTACGCTTGAATACTATGAAATGTCTGATCAGATTATCGGATTGTGTTCTGACACAACATCCAGTAACACTGGTAAAAAAAAGTGCCATAAACAAATTATTTCCCATGCCCTTAAAAGACCGGTTCTCTGGTTAATGTGCAGAAATTTCATTTATTTATGAAAGACACGTGACTCATGAAAAAAGTTTTTGGAAAATTACAACAGAAACCTGTAATTTTCCAAAATCTATGGCCACAAATGTAAACAAACTTGAGAGAACTGTAAAGTTTGACTGGCCTCAAGATGCTTTCAGGTCCGGCTAGTTACTATTTAAGCTTTCCTAGAATACTCAAGAGTTTTTTATCACAGCTCTTCATAAGAATACTTTCCAGAAAGTTACAAGTATCTTTGTGAGTTTCTGGTATTTTTTCTAGGAGCTGAGTTATCGAACTTTTCATTTAAACAGCCTGGAACTCATCATGAAGCAAGATTTATGGCTGACTGTATTTACTTACTGGTTATTCAGATGACTCAAATGTACCATCCTGCCGATTCCGAGACAGTTAGAATAAATACAATAAACCATCTAAAAGCTCCAACCAACTACATTGTATTTTTGTATGAATTATTCTTTATAAAAAGCTCTAATGCTTCTCAAGCACCTTCGAATGATTTAATGGCGTTCGATATTGCTTTTTAGCTACAAACAGTTAACGAGTTTAAAGAATTTGCTGCAATAGGAAAGTTTCTTTACCAAAGTCTGATGCGTTATACTTGGTATCTGTCTCCGCAACAAGTAATTTTTGCTCTTGCTAGATCTGAAAACCGAACTTTAGACTAACATGTTAAACAAACTGCTTTCTTATGATTTCCAGGAGTTAAAAGATCTGATTAAAAAGAAACCTGAAACTAAGGTTGAAATTATTTCTACATCAAAATTAGAAGGCTTTTTCAACGAGCAGTCCTACCTTTTGTTCTTGCTATTGGAGATCTCCAATAAGAAAATTCTGATATGGAAAAATAAAGGCATCGAAACATGTAAAAACGAGGAAGTTTCCCCGTCTTTTACTTATTTTTCAATATGTGTAAGAACACTTGTAGTTGTAAATGACCGAAGAAAATGATCGAAGAAATCTTGAATTAACTTAATGTGGAGTGCAGAACTCCACATTAAGTTAATTCAAGATTTCTTCGAGAGAACACACAAAGAAGACAGGCTTCAGAATACTCTCCAGGTATTTTGTTCAATAACACAAAATATAAATGTGATTTTTAGTTGATATTAATAATAATGGTTGTTATCGTATAAGTAATATTTGTTATAAATTTGTAATTTAGTTTCTTCAGAGGAACCCGCAAAAGATTTGAAAAAAAAAAACAAATTTCCCCTTAAAATTGAATATTATTATTATTTTTTTTAATTCACTAACCTAATATATAACTCTAATATATAACCCTTAAAAATATATTACCTTTTTATATATATATATAAATATATATATATATATATATATATATATATATATATATATATATATATATATATATATATATATATATATATATATATATATATATATATATATATATATATATGCGAACCTTTATAATTACTTACCTTGCATGCATTGTGATGCTTTAAACTTTAAACCGTTGACAATATTTCTTAAAAAATTGTATAACAGCAAATAGCGGTTAAATTTTTAAAATTAATAGCTTTACTGCATTCTAGTTAATTGTTTTATTTCACTGCATCCAAAAATTTTTAAAGATGTTGTTAAAGGGTTTAATTAAATTTCAGAATATACTATACAACAGTAACATAAGTTTGAGATATTGTTTTAATATTTAAGTAATCTTAAATTTTATTTTGCTTTTGTTAAGTTACACCAATCATATTTCTAGTAAATATTTGCTTTAATGAAATTATCTTTAAAAGCTTTTATTTACTTAATACAATCTATTTATAGTTTAATATAAACATCAAATAAAGTCTAATTATAGAAAAATCTAATTTTTTTGTTTACAGGCGTTTTATAAAAGTATCTTGAACAAAGTTATGTTATTTTTGAAAAAAAATAAAAAAGCCACTTTCACCAATAGTATACACTTTATCTGTTATTTTCTTTTATTTCAATATTTCAGCTTGATAACTTTGCATAGATAATATAAATTGAGCGTCTGAAGAGAATCAACAGTAATAAAAACAAGCTTATCAAAATTGGAAAACATTACATCTTTTTTTTTTTTTAATAGCCTAGTTACTTTCCTAAGTTTGAACCGAACATCATTAAAGATAAAATAATACTTTTTCACCATTGTTTTTTTTATTCGAATGTAGGAAAATATTGGAATATATTATATTGCAATACTTGGCTTTTAGAATGCATAAATTTTAATCACAAGTTTAGAGTAAGTTAACAATACATTTTGTTAACATTTATAATTAGTCTTAAAACATTAAAAATTATCATTTTTATTTTACTTTTTTACTGAATACTTTTGATATATTTTAACTAATAACTTTTAATAACTTTAATAATAATAATAATAATAATAATAATAATAATAATAATAATATTAATGATAATAATAATAACTTTTGGTGTTGGTTTTTCATTCTCTAAAAAGTTACGTACTTATTGGACAACCGCCATAACTTTTTAAAACTCTTATATAAAAATTTTTTATATATCCAAAGGTTTTCAATGGGGTTGAGGTCTGGTAAATTAGCTGGCCATTTTATTAAACTGATTTGGTTAGTATTATACCAGGTTTTAATAAGTTTAGAAGCATGTTTAGGGTCATATTCGTGCTGGAATCGCCATCTTAAAGGCATATTATCATCAGCAAAAGGAACCATTTGTTTTTCCAAAATATCTTTATATACGAAACGGTCCATAATGCCGTTGATTTTAAATTATGGTCCCAAACTGGAAAAACCCGAAAAACATCCCCAAACCACCATTCCTTTACCACCATTATGTTTAAAAACAGCAATAAATCCAAAGTATACAATACTTTGGATTTATTCGCTTTCACTTTGGGTGTCTTACGTTTTTTTTTCCATCTGAATGATGCAGGTTAAATTTTGACTCATCACTCCATAAAATGTGACTCCATTGTTCTACTGTCCAATTTTTATGAGCGTGGACAAATTCTAATCTAGCTTTTTTATTTTTTTCTGAAATAAACGGTTTTTTTGCAGCTATGTAACTAATTAGTCCTGCTATATCAAGATGTCTTCTTACAGTATTTTCTGAAACTTTTAGTTCTAATTCATTAATTACATCTCGAGCAGTAGCAAAAGGATAATTTTTCACAAATCTTACTAATCTACGATCAGTAACTTTTGATGTTTTGGGGGGACTAACCCCGTTGTGCTTTGTTTCGACAGTGCCATATTTACGATTGCACTGGTGTTACTGAAGGAATGAGACTGACCACTTGCTTATACACTTGTTGAGATATTATGAGTTTGAGTTTTAAATTCATATCCACCCACGTGGCTTAACTTTGACTTTGCTCACACTTTTTAACAAACTAGCAAACCAATCAAAAATGTTCTTTACATACTTTGCTTTATTGTAATACTTGACAACTTTAGGTGTCTGATTTATGTCATTTGAATAATAAAGTTCATTACCAGTTATAAGCAAGTTGTTCTTATCATCAACACTAAAATTGGAATTTCCATACTTTAATAATAAGCAACTACATTTTGGACAAGCTCAAAATGTCTTACTGTTGAGTATTCAATATTATTTTGTGAATACAATGAAGATTTTTTGTAGCTTTTTGTAGAGAAATTTTCACTCTGTGATTGAATTTTTTTTACAACTTAACAAATAAAAAGAAAAAGTCTATTTTTAAAAAGTTCAAAAACTAATTGACAAAGTTTACCTGAATATACAGAGTCACCGAACCACTGGAAGAGTGGATTGTTGGAAAAAGTGGACTACTGAGCTAATTTTGGATATCAAAATCTAGGTGGTAGATTACTAAAAAATTAGAAAAAAAACAATTTTTCAAAAGTTACATTATTTTAAACAGTAACTACTGTAGAATCTAAAATTATCTTCATATTCTAAGCACTCATAAAGATTCTTACAAATTCTCAAACCAATACTGCTTCTTTGTTTTTAATTTTCTATGTTGTAAATTACTTTGATCAGGTTCGATTATTAACACGAATGAAAGTGTATGCTATCAAAATGGGTTCTGCAGATCAAAAAAAAATAAATAAACCGAAAAACTTAAATGTTATAGATTACTTGATACTATTGGTTTGTCTTATTCAGTTTTTAGTAATATTTCTCCAACAAATAACTTTTCAAGTTTTCAAGAACCAAATTATGGTTCCCAAATAACACATCTTCTGCGTCCAAAGCAATGGACAAAAAATCATCTGACAAAATTAAAAAACAAAGAAACATTGTTAGAGCAAATAGGATTCGATGATAAATGATGAAGAGAAAACAGTGTATGAAAAAGTGTATGAAAAATTTTAAACTGTTTTTATACGTCAATAAGTTTGTATATTTAATGTTTTAAATTTCATTTGTATTATTCTTCGTTTTATTATTTCTATTTTTCTGGCAAAGATTGTAGGAGCTGTATTTATCAAATTGACTCTAATTTTGTACACCATTCATTATAATGAGCTTTATAAATTTTAGGTCCATATTATCAGATATCTGACTTTAAATTAATTGTATAAAAAATCTTACGATGCTTAAAATATAAATATTTCCAACAAACATCTCATGAAATTTATTTATATAAAAGGAATAAAACTGCAAAAAATTAAAACTTAAACATTTTTTTAAAGACGTCTTTACCAAGATTTTAGCATATTTTTGACCTAAAACTGTTTTTGCCCAAAATTTTTGAAAAAAAAAAAAGAAATTAAAAATTTGTTTTTTATCACTTTTTTTGTATTAAGTGTATTTATCATGTTTGAAGTAAAAAAAATTAATTTAAATATTATTTGATATTATCAGAAAAATACTCTTTTTAGTATTCTACAACCTTAAACCATAAACAAGGACGGTAACCAAAGGAACCTTAAACCATAAACAAGGACGGTAACCAAAGGAACCTTAAACCTTAAACAAAGACGGTAATAGAGTTTATCTATAGCCATCCTCCAAACTCTAAACTTCTACTAATCATCAAGGTTCTATTAATCAGCAAGGTTGATGGCAGTACAGGACAACCTATTTACACACATAAAAAAAAAATTATAATTATAAAGATGTATTTCTTGATAATTTTTTTTTGATAACTGTTTAATATTATTAAACAGTTATCAAAACTGTTTTAAACTGTTTAATAATATTAAATTAAATGATAATGTTCAATAACAATATTATTTAATTAAATGATGGTGTTCAATAACAATATTATTAAATTAATAATATTGTTATTGAACATCAACTAGAAATGGTGGAAAGCAATGTAGCAGCAGCCCTCAACGGTCTAACTGATTTAACTCTGCGTTGTTCTTTTTGTCATACTATCTACAAGTTTTTGTATAGATTATATTGTTCAGCTATATCTCTATTAATACATGCCCTAAAGGCAGAGATGTAGTCAGGACAGTAAAGGTCAAGACAAAGAATAAGATCAAGATATTATGACTTAATACCAGGACCAAGACCAAGACTTTAAGACCAATACTAAGATTAAGACACCAAAAAGTCAACCAAAGATGAAGAACAAAACTTTAAAAGTTTCACCAAGACTTAAATTCCTAAAAGTTTAACCCAACAAGACTCATGCTTACTCATGTATACATTGTAAGTATATACTCATGTATACTCATGTAAGTAGTAAAACAGATATCTAAGTATGACTTAACTTCATAATTTAAATAACACGTTAACAAAAGAAAAAAAAAAAGTTTAAAATTTTAATTTGAGACAAGTTTAACCTTTGTGCTAATTAATTTATCTCTGCCTGCGATTCCACATGTATCATAGTCGGTGACTTTAATCTACTACTAATAAACTGGTCATAGATAGTTTTGGAGATTTTTTTTATAACTTCTTTCTAGAAATGTGCTCTGCAAATGTTTTAAACCAGTATTTAATAATACTCAAAATAGAAAACCTTTTCGATACAACACCAACCGAAAACTAAAAATATATTATTTAATGTAGAAATCATTGCCCATTCACAAGCATCTGTACCACTGTGTATGATAGTAAGTGACCGGGGTTGATATTTGACCGGGGCTGGGTCGGGTTTGATAAAATATAGACGGGGTCGGGGCTGGGTTTGTGACCAGGGCTGCATAAACATTTATACATCCTAAAGCATACTTTTCTTATTTAAAATTCATGTTGTATTTTGTATATATGCGTACAAAAACATCATTAAGATCAACATGATCATTATAATCATCATTATTCATCATCATCATCATCATCATTATCATCATCATCATCATCATCATCATCATCATCATTATCATCATTATCATCATCATCATCATCATCATCATCATTATCATCATCATCATCATCATCATCATCAAGATTATCATCATCATCATAATCATCAGGCTCTAGCGTTCCTCTTTTATGCTGTTTCTCTAATATAAACTTTCTGGGGCATTTTCTTTCCTTAACTAAAATTCATACAATATGTAAGGCACTCTCTTTAAGTTTTCTTACTTCTAACACTACAATTTTCTCTTGAAGCTGCTACCTCTCTACATACTGATACCTAAATCACTTTAATCTTCTCTAAGAAATGTTTTTGATACAAGTATTTTTCTAATCTGTTTAAGATTATGCTTCTTTTTCTTTTCTT